ATATATATATATATATATATATATAATTATCTAAATCCCTATTTGTTTTGTCTTTTTTTCTTCTCATGTGGCCTAAAGTGACTAAAGTAAATTTAAATGTGCAGTTTTGTGCTCAGTGACCTGCACTTTTCGTACCCCCATGACTCCAGTGAGTAATCTTTAAAAAAAAAATCCAAACAATGTGGGCTTTAGAGAAAAGAGTCTTTAAAGTATATATGTGGCAACAGAGTGCCTGTGAGGATAATGGTGTTGAGGCGGCAGATCAGTAACTTCTGACGCTCCAAACCCTCAGGGAGTCGGCTCGAGATCGCTCGTCTTTGATAAGGTCCTCAAACAACAGCTGCAACTTCTTTATCTGAGAAATTACCAACAAAACGTAGCTTGAACGCTCGAACATCACAAAATACGCTTCATCACGCGCTTTTGCGACACGTCAGTAAATCCCTGACAGTTGCGTTTTTTCTCTTTCTGGGGGAGTTGTTTTGTTATGCAGCTGTCGGGACCTGGCAGTCGGTTCGTGGCTTTGAAGTGCGCAGCTCCAGCCTCGCGCTTCAGTTGGTGTTGGAGTCGCCTACAGGAGAGGAGAGACCTACTGAGCATGGCTGCCTGAGAGCTCAGGGAGGAGAAAAAGCGAGATTTTTATTTAAATTTTTTCCCACTTTCACAGAACCGACTGTATTTGGACGCGTTTTTTGCGGGGGGAACCAGAAATATGGATTATACGCGGTTTTTGTGGATAAAATCGCGGAGTTTAATCTGAGGAACAAACTCGTGGATCGATGGTAAGTTGGGAGACTCAAACTCGCCCCCATTGGAGTTCTCTTTGATGTGCTGTTGACTCGCCTTTGAAGTGACATTCTGCGGGGAAATAAAACCGTCTTTTTTTGCGTTTAGAGGCTCAAAACGCACCGTGTCTTCTTGTTGACACTATATTTCCCTCTTTAAACGTGTTTTCTGTAAGAACTTGGTTTTTTGTGTTTTTTTCAGGAGAAAAATGCTCCGAAGTGCTCGTTTCTCGTTGAGCAATTCCTCCCCCACAAGATCAGAGACTTTGCTGTACTTGGTACTGGATGTTCAAACAGTGGTTGTGTTGTTCGTTTTAAAGCAATTCTAATGACTTCACTCATAGTAATGAGCTCTAATAAGGTCGTAATGTGCACATGAGGGTGCTTTTATCTCTAGAAAACAATTATCTGTGATTTAAAGCTGTGCTAGGTGCGTTTGTGTTTTTCTGGTGCATCAGTCTTATCGTGGGTCACTGGTTTGGTCACGTTTTCCATCTCCAGGAGTTTATCCCCGCATCCATCAGATACTGGAGGCGGAAGCAGCTCAGTTTTAGTCTTTAGATGAGATGACGAGTCCTGGGAAAAGTGCAGAAGTCCGAGAAAGTGGCAGGAGAGCATGTGCTTGTGCGTAAAGCTTCGGCGAAATGAGGGACGAGTGTCTTTTATTGCGGTTTGATGCGTGAAAGCCAAACGAACTTCTTGGTAATTTGACGTTTAAACAAATTAAGTCTGTTTTTTGTAGTTTTTTTGTGCGGCGTTGGAGCAGCGCTCGTGTCTGTAAAAATTCCGGGTCTCTTTGAAGTTGGGGCGGATGTGGTTGTGATTAGATCAATACTTTGTGTTTCAGAGAGAAGACGGGCAGCTCAGAGAGGAGCAGCCCCCCCGCTGACATAAAGAGAGTGAGGAGATTACAGTAGAAGAAGCTCAGAGAGGAGGCGAACAGCGCACGAGCTCCTCTCCTGCTGCCTTCAGAGCCATGAGCCGGGCTCTTATGGACCATACCGCCACTGCTAGTTTCCGTGAAGATGCCCCTCGACCCCCGGTGCCCGGGGAGGAGGGCGAGGCGCCCAGCTACCCCTGCAGACTCGCAGTGATGAAACCCCTGGAACCCCCCAAGCCCGTTCCGCTCGGCTCTCCGGGCTCCTCCTCGGCGCGGAGGAACGAGGAGCCGGAGGGGAGCGCGTCGCCGGACTCGCCGCTGTCCCGGTGGACAAAGTCTCTGCACGCGCTCGTCGGGGACCAGGATGGCGCCCTGCTGTTCAGGACCTTCCTGGAGCGGGAGAAATGCGGCGACGCGTTGGACTTCTGGTTCGCCTGCAACGGCTTCAGGCAGATGGACCTGAAGGACACCAAAACGCACAGGGTCGCCAAAGCCATTTACAAGCGGTACATCGAAAACAACAGCGTGGTTGCCCAACAGCTGAAGCCGGCCACCAAGACCTTCATCCGGGATAACATCAAGAGGCAGCACATAGACTCTGCCATGTTCGACCAGGCGCAGACGGAGATCCAAACCAACATGGAGGAGAAGGAGTACCAGATGTTCCTGACCTCTGACATTTACCTCCAGTACGTGAGGACTGGGGGCGAGAACCCGGCTCTCCTCAGCTCGGGGTCTTTGGGCAGCCTGAAAGTTGTCTGTGGATATCTGCCCACTCTCAACGAAGGAGAGGAGTGGAGCTGCGACTTCAGAGCCAAAGCTCTGCTCGGATTGAAGGGCCAAAGGGCCCCCATGACGCTGAGAGCTGTGGAGAGGGGATACAGGTATGACTAATGTTTGTATGTATGTGTCCATGTGTCTTTCTGTTAGCTAAATATCTCATGAACCACAGGATGAAATTTAATGAAACATCGGGAATTATTGGATGTACCTCAAGTCAACCTAATTAAAGATGCAACAAAGTTCAGTCAGGTCATCTGGATGATTTCTTTCTTCTTCTATTTTTTTTTAAACGTTTCATCCAAAGAACTTCATCAGAAACCACAACAAACTGAGTCTGGGGGAGAGGGTGGTCCTCAGAAACCATCTTATCACTGGCAAACTGGTTGGTCCACTATCGGAGTGTGCTGCTTGTGTGACTCTGTTTGTTGTGGTTCCTCGGACTGATGAAGTCCTTTGGATAAAGAACGAAACATCTCAACAGAAATAAAGAAAACGTCCAGATAACCTGACTGAACTTGGTTGGATTTTTTTTACCTGGATTATTGAGCATGAACTTTGATGATCTAATTAAAGTTGATCATCACAGCTTACTGACTTTAGAAAACACTTAAAGGGTTATAATTCAGTCAGTTTTATGAATACTGAGCTTCAATTTGGGGTGATCATAGCTGAGAGTCAGTAGCAACACATACAAGAAAACTTTGGCAAATTGTTGGAGTCAACCCTGTTTTCTGTTAGCAAAATATATTTTAAACCACTGGATGAATTTGGCTAAATTTAGAGGTTCGTTAAAGTAACAACCTTAGCCACAAATGTCTCCGAATGAGTCAGTTTTACTGATACTGAGCTGAAATTTGATGTGGTAGCTGAGAGTCGTTCACAACACACTCTTGAAAGCGGCTACAACTCCTGTCAGTTCTCAACAGGATGATCCAAAATGTTGGAATGAAAGGTGGCGGCACTCCTTTGAGGACTGCTTGGCCTTTAATTTTTACTGTATCCTTTGAACAGAGCTCAGACGGCGTTAGCCTGCCTCCTGCCTCTGAAGCAGTTTTCTTCGTTCATTTTCTCCAGAGTTTGCAGAAAACTCTGTCCTCTTCCTCCTTGTCTCTCTCTGGCCCCTCTCTCCTCCTCTCCAGCAGCAGCCCTCTGCTGGCGCTCGCCTGGATTTCCGGAGCTTTGAAATGGTTCCGCAGAATGAGGGATCGTCTTCCAGAGGAAAAGTTCACAGAGCTCGGCTGGCTCTGGCCCCGGCCAGCAAATAATAGATGATGACATTGCTATGCTATGTCTCCTCTTGTACCCACACTGTCAAGCCTTTTGACAGGGGTACAAATCTGCAGAGGCTCTTTGAAGTGACGATTACGCACTTTATGAACAACCTTTTCTGCTTTGTTTTCCAAGTTTTAATCATTTTTCTCTACATTTAAGTGGGTAAATGATTCCGTAAATCTGTCTGCTCTGAACTACATCTGCTGGAGCATTTAAAGCATTTTTAAGGCTCTTTATGCCAAAACTGATAAATTAACTTTCCCCTGTACCTCCATATCGTCACCAAACCAATTCAGAACATGTGGGAACCATTTCTCATTCCTCTCACCTCATGTCTTCTGACTCAGGTTCCCTTAAAAAAAGAAAACAAACCCTGAACGGCAGCAGCTACAGTACAGAATCAACACCTCCCCTCCCTCTCTCCTTGTTTGTGTCGAATCTCCTCTGATTCCTCCCCCCCCCCTCCTCCGCCGCCTTCTCCACTTTTATCTTTTCTTCCTTTTGAAAACTAAGGGATGGGGGACTACGAGGCATGCTTTTGGAGAGAAAGCAAAGAGAAAGAAAGGAAGGACACAGAGAGAGAGAGGGATGGCTGCAGACTTATGAAAGAAAGAGAGGGAGGAGAAAGGATAAATGGGGGGGTGGGTGAAAGGGAAGCAGGGAGGGAAGAATGCAGGGCCAGCTGTGTTAAATACCTGACTCTCTGCAAGCCCCTCTGAAGGTCAGTCTGGAGCTGGGGGCCTGCAGCTTTAGTCATGCTGGGTCTCTCCCTCCTCCCTTTCTCCCCTTTTTTTACTTCTAACGCACACATGCTTCCACCCCTTGGGTTGTGTGTTTGTGTGTGGAGTTTTTTGTGTGTTGGGGGGGGGGGGGGGGGGGGGGGGGGGCTACTGCTTTCAACCTCCTGTACCATGGCAAGAATGCAAACACAGCAGGACATCTGTTCTTAGGAAAGTGTGGAAGGAATGGAAAGAGAAATTGTGGGACATTTTAAGAAGTTTGTGCAACTCAGGCAGAGTCCTCACCCCCAAACCGGTTTCATTTATTAATTTTCTGTTTACACCCCCAAACAACAGAAAACACAACGTCAGATTTCAACACGACACGCTCAGGACATAAAAGCAAACGATGACAGTCGCCGCCTTGTTTCAAAGACTTCTGTGCTAATATTTGTTTTATGCCTGTTGTTGCTGGAACAGATCGTGCAAGAGAGGAGACTCGCTGAACCCCTGCCACGTGGGCTCCTTTGCCCCCGTCAGCAGCACCAACGACAGCGAGGTTTCCAGTGATGCTTTGACTGACGATGCCATGTCTGTGACTGACAGCAGCGTGTAAGTTAATATTATCTAAACATGCGTGTGTGCTGTGGACGTCTAAACCAGATGTCTGCTCTGAGCTGCAGCTCAACTTGAGTAATGTTTCGCTTTAGTTTAAAGAATAAGACTCTGGTTCCTTAGAGCAGATGGAACAGAACAAGGCTAAAGCCAATAATAAGCTACATTTATTACATTATATGTCAATTTTCGATTAAAGGAGTGTGACATCTTAACATTCAGTTCAGCAGAAGACTTGACATCGTTTCAACGTCGTCTGATCTGTTGGTACTTCAAATTACCTCATGAATTATTTAGTTGTGGAAAAACTAAAGATGGCTAAACCCACTTTCATTGTGATAAAATCATTTCTCTCACTGCCTTTGGGAACTCCTCTTGTGCTGTCGTTAACCACTAAACCTGTCCTCCTCTAGACTTCTCTAGATCTGGAGCCATTTTCTAGCCTAAACATTTTTGTTTCGTCAAGTTTTTAATCACCTCAAATATGTTGCCTTTTCCACCAAGTGTTAACAAATACACATTTCTGGGTGAATATTTAGAAAATACATTTAAAAATTTTATCTGTAGTATTAAAACTAGGGATGCACGATATTGGATTTTTGGCCGATACCAATACCGATGTTATTTTCCTAGACCTACTTACAGAGACTAAATCGCTTTCTCTGCTCTGGAATTAAAAGTACTACATTATTCTGCATGGTCTTGTCAATTTGCCCTGCTACCTAATGCACATGCCAAAAAGAGGGCTGAAAATGATGTAACACTATAAATATTTAACATATATATTTTTAAAAAGCGCCTTTTATATCGGTGAGTTATTTTGATGGAATGGCCGATATTTAACTTTATTGCTAATATCAGCCGATACCATGCCGATAATATTGAGCATCCCTAATTAAAACACCACAGTTTGAAGCACTTTAAGCTTTCAAAACCTGCTGCTGGGTTGAAGAGTGTTCCTGTTATGCAAATATTCACCATTTTTACTTTCTAGTTGATCAAATTCACTTGTCGGCTTCAAAACGTTTGACCCATCAGCGACTTGTCGTTTGTGGTGTGTCCCTGTCCACATATGGTTCCAGTCTTATCTGTGTACGTGCCTCAGTCCTCATACTCGTTAAGCGTAATCACGTGTCCCTCAAATGACTAGGTGCTGTGAAGTCATTGTATAAGGCACAGCTCAAGGGCAGGGGTGCTCGGGTCAACTGGGTTTGGGACATAAACCAGACAAAAGGTGGAAGGTGTGGAGGATGATGTCAGTGAAAAGGTGCGATCGACCATGAGCTAAAGTTACTAACAGACTGAGGCGCTGCCGTTCAGTGTTTGTACATAAATGCAGCAGCTGTAAATGCACAAAAGGGAGTCTCATATCAGAACAGTCAAAGAGGCGGAGCAGGCTCATATAGTCCTGTTCTGCTGTACTTTGCCCAGTGTTGTTTCAAAGCCCGGGCCGCAGGGACACAACTTCCCCACCTCATTTCCTGCCCACTTTGACCTTGATCAGAATATCTGCCTCTCGATAGGACAGTTAAAAGAGTCGTAAACATTTGAATTTCGTTTGCAGATAAAGGAGGAAAAAAGAGAGAAAAAGGGGAAAACGGCAGCAGGGGAGGAGGCGGTTGGTTGGAAAGAGAAAGAGAGTGGTGAAAAGGGGAGGGGGGAGTTTTGCTTATATCTTATTTATGGATTTGCTTGGACGCTGGGGAATGCAGCTGCGCAGACTTCAAACATTACCTTATCTTACAAACCAGCCTTTTGATGTGCGGAGATCAGAGGCTGGCTGCGGCAGAGCTTGCCAAATGAAGATTGGGAGTGTGTTGCAGGGGGTGTGTGGGTGGGTGGGTGTAGGGGTTTCTTTGCTCATGCGCATGACTGTGGCATTTCAGAGGAAAAGTGCTCATCGGTTAGCTTAGATCACCAGGAATAACGTGCTGTTCAGCATAAAAGAATAACGCTCAAAGGAATAGTTCAGGTCTTTTGAGGTGGGGTTCAGAGGAGAAGTTATGAACAATTAACATATTACCTGTTGTAGGTAAATGACATTAGTTTATAGAAATAGTTTAAATTTAATTGATGAGCTAACAACTAGTCTGTGCAGGGCAAATACCAAAGTGGGTTGTTGACGTTTTTAATCAGATCAAGTCTTTAAAAAAAAAAATCATAGCAGTTCATGTAAATGCTGCTTTTTAGATTTTTACACGCAGTCAGTTTCAAATTACACACAAGAAATGTAAGAGGCCAAGACTGATTTGGAAGTGGTTTCTATAAACTAGGACTTTGTAATAGCTGTAACGTGCAACTGAATGTGCAGTAAAGGTTTATAAAATAGTGTTTACATAAACGTCTATGGAATTTTAGAGATCAGAGTTCTTTTGAAATTGCAGCAATCTTACTGGGCTTAACCTCACTCAGACAAGCCGTTAGCTCACCCATCCTGCCAGAAATGGTTGAGGTTGTGCTAAAGGATATTAATGCCTCATAACCATTCCACAAAACTGCACATCAAAAGTTTTAGGCTCAAAATTCACCGTGTGATGTTTGTTTTCATCTTTTGTCAGCGAGCGTCTATGATCGGTTTAACCAGGTTAGCTACACCCTTGGGTGCTGCCTCGCACTAACTCTTTGAATAGGTATAATGAGTAGATAATGCTAGCTGTGTCCTCAGTTTAGGATAAAGTACAGAAGGGGAATGCTAACGTTAATGCTGTTTCACACCACCAGCAGGGTACCCAGGGCTTGGAGCCCCAGCTGAAGATCAGTCATTTCTAGAGCAAATAAAACCTCCAATCACCTCGCTGAGAATCCTGAGCCCAGTCTGTCCTGAAAAACACTCATGCAGAACAGAAATGCTGATGTTATTCACCTCTGAGCCTCATTTCTGTTCTCCTATCACACCTAAAAGCAACAGTGAAATATATTGAATAATTAATAAATTAATCTTGCACAGTGTGTTTGATGTAGCCAGTTGGCTAACAAGCTTCTTCCTAAACGGCTGTGTGGCCTTAATGATGTTTCTGATTGGGTAATTGACCTTTGTGGCGTGTGTGTGTGTGCTCCCCCCCCAGAGATGGCATCCCTCCATATAAAATGGGCTCCAAGAAGCAGCTTCAGAGAGAGATGCAGCGCAACATGAAGATGAACAGCCAAGTTGCATTGCCTCCCTTTCCTGTAAGTACACGCATGTGTAGCTGCACATGCACAAACTGAAGTGTTTGTAAGTCTGGGTCCCACAGTGTAATTTCCACACCTCCCTCCACTCTGGGTCTTTCTTGGGTTCTGTGAATTGTGCTGTGCAAACTCTATTTGGCATTCTCAATTCAGCACCAGCAAAGATCTGAGGACGAACGGCAAAGACGCAGCTTCCCACTCAGACACACATTCTCACAAGCACACATACAAACGCAAGCCCCCTGCGTAGCTTCGGTGTCACCTGCACCCCCATTAGGGTTCCTTGACGTCTGTAGAAGACGGGGGTGAGGTCTCTAAGCAGTTTATTGCTGCAGAGCTCGAAACATGCCTTTTTTTCCCCACCAATACTGTAAATATGTTGACTAGGGAAGAGATGAGGAAGATCTCTGCCACCGTCCCGTGGGGTGGGGGGGTGGGGGGTGCTGAAATCAGCCTGGTTCCTCAACAAAAACACAAAGATACCCACACTGACGCGCACACAGCGCTTTGATCCGCAGATGAATGGAGCAAACGCACAGGAAAGTGACAACTTCCAGCAGAGTTGGCCCCCTTTTCTTCCACAGCACTGCCACCCCCTCTACACACACAAACACCCATCCACCCCCCACCCCCCCTCCTGTAAAAGCAATGGATCTGAGGGAAGAGTCTGAGCACGTCATGTGAGCTCTCTGCAGGTCAGAGGGGAGTTGATAGCTTAAGGCTTTAAAGAAACTAACTTGAGGGTTTGAGAAGAATTTGAGACAAGGTCCAGATCTGAGGCTGTTGTGGGGGGGGAGGGGGAAGACATCGTGTAACAGAAGCAGCTTGTTAAAATAAACTTGACTTAACCCTCTTTATTTTTTTTCTCCAACTGTTGTTTTGCATCAAGAAAAGCCCTGCAGATTGGATTGTGCTCTCCTCTTTTTGTTGCACTCTTGTTTTTGTTTCCCATCTGATTTATTTTTTTGGTGATGGCTGCCATTCCCATAGTGCATCAGCCCCGAGCACCATCAGACAGTTCCTCTTTCTCTCACTTTTTCCCCTCCCTTTTATCCAAACTACAAAGAGATATGAGGAGGAAAAGGAGAACAGTCATGAAAGTCCCAGTACAAAAAAAAAAAGATAATGCTTTAAGATGCATACAGACTCATAGTGTCACAGTTCTGTAACTTGAAGGTGCCCAGTGTGTGACAAGGAATAAAACACCTCAACCTTTTTTGTTACCTTTATCTCTTTTCTTTCATTTTTTCTTTCTTCTTATTTCATCTTGTAAGCACACGTCTCTGTATCTCAGCTGCTCCGGTTACTTTTTTTAATTCCTCTCCTCCCTGGAGTTCTCTTCCACCCCCTGTTGATTTGTGGCTTTTATTCCTAGATGTAAAGCCACTGCTTCCCATCAATCTACCCTTCCATCTACCATCCTATTCTACCCCACTGAGTGTTTGATATTTGACAAGGAAGACTTTGAAGTAAGCTGACTTTAAAGAGGCCTGCCAATGATGACAGAGGGAACCAGCTGAGGTCTAACCCAGCGTGACTACGCCGGGCCTACCGTCTCTTAAAAAACAAGCCTGTAGCCCCGGGTGCCAGTCAGCGTGCCCCAATCCTTACTGCCAGCGGTGCAAAAAGATGCATGAATTCAGTCAGGAGTTGTGTCTGGAAACTGTTTAAAAAAACGATACAACTGCTAATGTGCTTCTTTCCTCTTTAAAGCGTACACATCGTCCTCCAGCGGAGATGGTCCCGATGGAGCCATCACAGTTTGCAGCCCAGCTGATCTCTCGTCTGGAGAACCTGAAGAGGGAGCAAGATACCATCAGCTCTCTGGAGGAAAGGCTTCAGCAGATTCAGGAGGTTTGTGTGACGTTGGCTGAAATCCAAAACACACGTCGTTATCGTTTGTTTCTGGTTTAATTTATTAATTTGTTTATGTGGTTTTTTTTTTTTGTTTGTTTGTTTTATCCAGGAGGAGGAAAGAGAGGACACAGACATCAATGGAAGTGCTCCCCAACTCTCCCCGCATCCTTTAACCCTCCTCTCCGGTTCCTCTGACGAGGATCCGCAGGCCATCTTGGACGAGCACCTTTCTCGGGTTTTGAAGACTCCCGTCTGCCAGTCACCTACAGTGATCCGGCACTCCCCTCGCTCCAGCTCCCCAGAGCACCAACTGTTCACCTGTGCTGGCTTTGGAGTCCAGACCCAAGGGAGGACCGGACCACCGAGTTCTTCTGTCTCCAGTCCGAACCAGGGGGCATTCGCTCTGGCCTTGGGCCCCAATCGAACCCTCGTAAACAGGCAGAATACAAAACACATCCACCACCACTACATCCACCATCATGCCAGTCCGAAGCCTAAAGAGCAGATAGAAAGGGAAGCGGCCCTCAGGGTGCACGGTGTGTGCTCCAGCAGCGGGAGGTGCCAGTCCTGCCAGGCGTACCCCCGCAGTCGCAGCCTGGGCAGAGAGATGTGTGGGGCCGTGTCTTTAGAGAACAACATGGGGTGAGTCCCAACATCTTTATTGATTTATTTTGTTGTTTGTGTTTGACCATATAAAGTAACACCATGCTTCTTCTCTTCCTCCCAGTCGGTCCAGTTCTCTGTCGAGGCATGTGTATCGCTCAGGAGCGGAGGATGGGGTCGCAGAGAGATGTACGGAGGAGTGTGGGAGCGTACAGCTGCCCAGTGACACCACAGACCCCACCCAGAACGTGTTGCAGTGGATCCTGGAGAGTAAACGTCAAGGCAGACACAAGTCCAACAGGTGAGCACAGCTCATCATTTTTGCCTGAAACATCCTCATTTACTGTGATTTTCTGTTGTTCGTTGATTTATTGATTTATTTATTTCTGCCAACAGTACCCAGAACACTAAGAAATCCTTTGGAGGCTCATCGACTCAGACGCACACATGGGGAGGTGGTGGAAGCTGTGGCCACCTACGTAGCCACCAGCCTGCACAGCCATTCATCCAGGACCCTGCTATGCCTCCTCTCCCCCCTCCCAACACACTGGCACAACTGGAGGAGGCTTGCCGCAGACTGGAGGAAGTCTCCACCAAACCCACCAAGCAAAGGTACAGAAACTGGCTCATTTTATAAAACATTTATAACGTATTTTAACAAAGACATCGACAGACCTTCATTGACTCTCTCTCTCCCTCCATGTCTTTTTTTAAGGCATTCATTGTCTTCTGTTCAGCGTGAGAAGTCCCACCAAGTGTCTGTCCAGGGTGGGAGCACCGTCCCTCTGTGTCTTACCAGCCCCAGTCCAGCTGCTTCCCTCATCACAGCCAGTACAAGTGTCCAGTCAGAAGAGTAAGATTGTGTCCGTCTCTCAGCTGACTTCCAGTTCTTGTGTTTTTAGATCCTGTTGACCCCTCCTGTTGTTACATGAACAAAACGATCACAGCTCCATTTATACTTACTGATAAGAGAACGTGCACGTCATAAGCCTTACACAGACACAGGAGCTGTGATTGTGGAGTAGTCCCTATCCTGCTTAAATGATTTATTTTTATAAAAGGCTATATGCGTCGTTTTTACTGGCTGTCCTTTCTGTGAGCTGGCATTAGACCGGGCCGAGCTTAGCGCAGAGACAGCTCCTCTGAAGTCGGCCTACAAAGCCTTGGACGTAGCTGAAGGGGAATCGACAACACTGCCCCTTCTCTGTGCACACACACACTTACTGATGGGTCTGGGTCACACACACTCACAGGGAGTTCTTCCTTTAGTTTCAGTCGTTCTCTGTCCGATCAAAACAGATTCTTTGCTCCTAGATCTTTTATGCTTGTTCCATAAAGCATTGTGTGTGTGCACGTCGTCTCTTACGCCCTCCCTCTCCCCATTTGTGTCCTGACAGGTGTAAGAAAAGTTTGGGAACCCACGCTGGCTGCAGCGGGGAGACGGTGGTGACGTATTTCTTCTGCGGTGAGGAGATACCGTACCGGAGGACCATGAAGAGTCACAGTCTCACTCTGAGCCACTTCAAAGAGCAGCTTCGCAAGAAGGGCAACTACAGGTACAGGATTCACTCGAGCAGCAACGTTGAAACGTGGCGCTCAGTTTTTTTTTCTGTAGTGACGTAAAACCAGAAAAGACTAAACTGGAAAGACTCAAACTTAAGCAAGTAAGCTAATCTGTGAACGGGCTCCGTGCTTCAGAGGATAGCAGCAAAACTGCATCAGTAAAGATTGAAACGCTGTTGCTGTTTGTTTCTGGCTGCTTTTGTACGCCTGCAATAAAAAGGAAAAGAGGAAAGGGGCGGGTGGTGCAGGGGTTAGTGGGAGAGTTTGAACCGCTGTGATTTGGGTCCCATCTGGTATTGATTTCCATGCTAAGGCACACTTAATACACATGACTTTGAAGCCCCAACCTCTTTCATTTTAACCAACAAAGACTCGCACAAAAGGCCAGTGTGCAAATTCTTCACTGATGCTATCGGGGCCTACTTCCCCCCTCCACCCACCATCAGCCCCGCTCTTGTGTGTGTATGTGCATTTGCTTGTGTTAAATGTGCACCGTGTTTACACATGTTGTAATCATTTTATGGATATTTCTGAGGCGGATTGTTAAATGCCAGATCCGCTCATTTAGCCTGCTTACAGGGCCCCTGTCTGAGGGCGTGCAGCTTCAGTGTTTGCAGGGAGATATATATATATATATATTTTTATTTTTTTTACTTTGATTGCTTCTATCTCGTGGGCGTTGAAGGGAAAAGATCAAACATTTATTGTTTATGCTGCTTCAGGAGAAGCACAGAGAGAGCACGGTGTTAATAATTACAGGTATCAATCTGGAAGATGAAGCATAACAGACTTGGAGAAACTTTTTCCTGTCCAGATGTGTGCAGCACTTTTTTGGGAGGAGATCAACAAATGTGACAAGTACTTCGCTCTGGGCTCTTCACATCTGTCTGATGGAAGGCCCCTCCTCTTCTTTTCCGCTTTGGCTCACTGTCTTGGTTCCTGTGTCATACCAGCCTCTTTTTTTTGGGGGGGGGGGGGGGGGGGGGGGGGGGAGTGAGCGGCCTTAATAGCAGCCAGAGAATGTGTAGAATTGGGTCATTTCAGCATGGCAGCGGTTCAACAGAGAACAGCACTGCTTGGCCCTGCCAGATGATATTGGTGCCAGATGTCAGACTAACGGAGGGAGAAGAGGAGAAAGGTGGTGGGATGGAGCAGGGGCCGGATCAAGCCACATGAAACATGTTAAAGTAGAAATTCTGTCTCTTAGCAAAAAAAAAAAAAGTCATAACTCTTTGAACTCAAATAAAGGAGCGCTGAAGTTTTTTTTTTGGTTGAATAAACAGTTGTCGTTTGGTTTATACATTTTTTTTGTTTTATCTTTTCGTTTTGTTAAAGTCTTCCCATCTTTTATTCTTGGCTGTTTTTATTTTTTTATTGGCTGCCACCCTCATGTGCCACTGTTCCTTTTTGTAAGCTTATTTAACTTTTGTCATCGTAAAAACATAAAATAATCTCTCTACCTGTAGCTACGCCACACATGGAGCAAATTGAGACATTTTTCCATTACGTAGTTAATGAACGGATTCCCAGACCCTGCTAACCGACCCACCCCTGCTGTTTTCTCTTCCTCTAACTGATGTGTGTGTGTGTGTGTGTGTGTGTGTGTGTGTGTGTGTGTGTGTGTGTGTGTGTGTGTGTGTGTGTGTGTTGGGGGGGGGGGGGTTGCATCATTATGCCCCAGTGAAGTTAGCGTTTTCTTCGACACACAAAGTTGCCCGTTAGCTGCCCTTCCTATAGCTCTCAGTGAGAGTCATTACAGGGGTGAGGAAGGTTCTCTCCCTCTCCTCCTTCACTTTTTCCCTCTCTTTCTGTAATAATTAAGCCGGGGGGTGAGGAGGAAAAGGAAGTTTTGTCTTCTTCTTCTTGTGTGATCTGCTAGCCAGACAACTAAATTCAGACGTCTGAAAACGTGTTGGACAAACAGATAAACGAGTGTTTGTATCTTTGTTGTTTGTGGGAAACGACAAGCGTTAACAATCCCCCGTGTCTGTGCTGCAGGTACTACTTCAAGAAAGCCAGCGACGAGTTCGAGTGTGGTGCCGTGTTCGAGGAGGTGTCAGACGACAGCTCCTTGTTGCCCACCTACGAGGGCAAGATCCTGGGGAAGGTGGAGAGGATGGAGTGACGCCGTGCTGTCAGGGTTGTGGATTACGCTCCCGCGGACGCCTTTGTGGATTCCCTTCATTTAAGCTAAGACTGTAGGACCGAAGATGTGGAAGAAACACTGAGGTTCAGCAGATGGACTCGATGAAACACAGAAGAAAACCGAAAAAAATTATATTTACCGGACTTTGGAGAGAACAGCTGCCTTGAATTGAAGAAAACATGGACTCTGTGCGTGCACGTGTGCGTGCGTGTGTTGGACTGAAGTCTTTCCAGCAGAGACTTTAGGTGAATGACCACTCATCAGGGAAGCAGTGGGCTTAAATCTGGGACTGAGAGCTGACCTGAACCCTGTCTGTGCTGGTGTCTGCTCACGAGCGCCCTCCAGCACATCGTGCACATGCAGACATACATGTACGTTGTTTTGCGTCGTATGGGGTGCACATATTGCAGTGTAAAGATTTATATTACTATTTATTGGAAATTTCCCAAGTAGCTTGGATTAGACAGATTTTGAAATCCTTCCCTTCAGCGTCCTGCAGGAAAAGAAGGTGTTTTTACTGGTTCTTACTGAACCAGTAAAATTCCATGGAAACGACTGATCTCTTTGCTGGATGACGCTCGGAGAAATGGCTCTAAGACTTAAAAGTTCGATCTTCTATTTACTACTGCAGCGCTATTTGTGGATGTTTTCCTATCTGCTCTGAAAGGTTCTCTGTGTTTTAGGGAAAACAAGCAACAACAAAAAAAAAAGATATTAAAGTTTAATCCCGCTCTGTGGGATTCTGCCCAGCTAGCCTTGATCAGTTAGTGCCTTTGTTTCCGTGGCGCAGGCATCGCACAAATAACCTACATGTGTAGGAAACTGCTCCGAAGCGGGTCCCCAACAATGTGTTTACACCAGTGTGAATACTTTCCAACAGAAAGCTCTATTATGTGTTCCTTAGTGTGCATGTGTGTGTGCATGTGTGTGTGAATCCTGCACTCTGAGCTGCAGATTTAGTTGCTTCTAAACACTATGTCATAGTGTTTTTACTTGAGTACAGTAGCTGTGCCTACATGGATTATTCCCATGTTTTTACCCAGTTTTCAGGGTCTTTTAATCCCTTGGTTCTCACAAGGGGCCTTATGTTAAAAAGATATTTTTTATGGCTTTCTATTATCATCATGTTTATGTTTTAATGATATTTTTCATGCCTTTTTCGGTTCCATGTGTAAACTGTAAATTATGCGTTCCATAGAGCTCCGTTGAAAAGATGCCTCGGTACTTTAATTATTGTAATTATAAAGAGATGTAGCCTTTATTAAAATGTTCTATTTTTCAAATTAGCAGACTGCTTCCTGTAGTTTTGTGTGTGTGTGTGTGTGTTGTATCTCACACAGCCTGCTGTGCAGAGTGCAACTCGTCGGGCCCTGTGAGAAATTTCCAATAGATTTACATCCATTATCAGCTCTTAATGCGCTCCCTGTTGGAAATTAAAGCATGCAGCATTAATTTGGCCACTAGAGCCTGTGAGTGTTTAACGGTAACACAGAAGGAGCTAAGTGTGTGTTAATGAGATGTTTGGTAAATATACAGTCCGTCATTAGTGCACATGACTCCACTGCTTACGTGGTAAATGTTTGGCTTGTGGTCTGTTATGTAATGTGAGGGAGACTCGTTTGTTTCTCGGACCAGTGAAGTGTTAAGAAAGATATTGGGGTGCACTGTGATTGCAGTTTTCTGGCCAATCACCGATTTGTAAAAAAGTCTGACCTGCTGATTTTGATTTTGTTTAATAAGCGACACTGTCGGGTGTTACAAGGTCACGATGCACCTTCAATTTTCCAATCTTATTGGAAAACATACCTTTGAACAATATCCTAGAAATAATACAAACTTGTTTTAACTGGCCATGAGGTAGTGCTCTGAAATATAAATCAAGTTTAGACAACTGTTAAAACAAAAAAAATAATAAAATCTGTAAAATCAGTTTCTCGTGCAAGTATCGGCCGATTTCCCAAAATTGAGGAAATCTGTCGATAAGTCGGTGCAGCCCTAAAGAACTGAACTTTAGGTACAGATGTTGAGATAAAACAAACGAAGTTACAGACATGGCCTCAAACTGACGACTGTCTACTTTGGTTTGAACTTCTAAGATATTTTATAAATCCATCTCTGATGTTAATGAAAGGCCTAATATTCCTTGAAGGAATGCATATCATCCGCCGCATTTCACGCCCGAGTTTGGGAATGAGTTTGAGCACAATCCTGCCACATTGTGAGATGTCCTTCTCGAACCATGTGCTGTGAAGGACTCTCAGCTACTACCACATGGGTCAAGTTAGAGTTATCTGTGGTAACGATGTAGACGTGCATCAGTGACGGTTCAGCAACCGGGCAAACAAGCGCACACTGTGGCGGCGGGCGATAACTAAAGTGCCAAACCACGTTCGTTAAAATCCAAGCAGAAATGTATTTTCCTGACATGAATCTTTATTTATTTATTTTTTTAAGCGTTTGGCGACATCATCCTTCCGTTTTACAGCGACCTCTGTCAGGGTCTGCCCTGGCGCCACATCAGCTCCCGCCTGATGTTTAGCTGATGTACAGAAAACTTTGATCGCAGAGTTCACCCAGAATCTGAACATGACGTCGTTTAAACAGTTAACAGCCCCTTGGGTTCACACACACACACACACCTCTCACACACTCCACGCTCCTCCTTCACCCTCTCTCCTTTCAAGCTGCCTCGGTTTAGAGAGTTGCTTATGCTGCCTTTCATATTGAAAGGGCATCATGATATTGTTAAAATACCATTTTGGTGCCTTTCATCAGGAAAGGTCAGTGCATACACTTGAAGGCCATCCTTTGGAGTCTTCAGAAGCTCTTCTTCAGCGCGGCGGCGCTGTCAGGAGGCCTTCTGAACCCGCCTGTGTGCACGGAGCTATTTTAGATGAAGGGTCATCTTTTTGAAGACTGCTGCAGGGTTTGGTAAACGGTAGACGGCTTCTTTCATTCACACTGAGCTTTCCATAAGTAGGTGAGTAGATGTATTTGTGGGCTTTAGGTTTGATGACGGGCTTTAACGATCAGCCGCCATCTTTCATGCTAGACTTTTAAACTGAGGTCCTTTTATAACGGGAAGCAACGGAAAAGAGAACGCTAGGAACTAAAACCCCAAACAGGAAGTAGAAGCAGCCTCTCCTGCGTGCCAGGTTAATGTGCAGTCGTGATTTTTTTGTTCGTTTTTATGGCGCAAAACGTGTGACGTCCAGGCAACGCTACAAAACGTGAAAGCCGTTTAGAGGGAAATTCGTTTAAATGTAGATGAAGTCAAGGAGCGGTGGAGCGTGTGCTTCACTCGCTGTGTGCCACCACAAACCTCAGGTTCATTTAAACACACTTCAGCCAGCCCACTGGAGACAGCGATGAAGGAGGGAGACCCCCAATTTGTGCTGCTGAACCCCTTCATTTGGAACCTGGACCAGCCGTGTGAGTTGTTCCACACGAGGCTTCGACCCAGACAACCACAGGACTGCGGTCGACCGAGGGGCCTCGGCTGGATTCTGGTCGGGCGCCGCCGACTGAGCCGATCCGGACACCGTGTGACCAATCACAGGCCGCCCTCCTCGTTTCACCTCAGCCTGTTGTGTACATGTTAAAATAAACCACAGGGTCCGAAGGAGCAGCGCACGGCCGGCACGTCCATGTAGAGAGGAGCCAACACTAAATGTTGTTAAAGGGTTGGGAAGTGTGGTTCAGTTTAGATGTTGTGAATAATTAATATCTTACCTGCTGCTGGTAGCTCTTTGAACGACTTCAGTTTGGAGAAATAGTTTTATTATTTACTGCTAACAGATGGCAGAAGAGCAATAATGTTTTTGCCAGTATGTTTATTTGTAAGTAACCTAAAACTGCCATGAACCACTGTCAGAAAGTTATGAACCTGTAGGGTAAAGTCATTCAGGTAACATTTATATTTTTTCCACATAACTCCACTTCAGCAGATCTGAATTAACTATTCCCTGTCCGTAAGTTCCTGTTTTCAGCCCATCGTATGTGACCGGAGCATCTAAAGTTGATACAAGTGTTCCAGTAAAAATGCTTCTTCCTGTCCGTGGTGCTGACAGATGAAAACTTTCTGTTTCCCTCCCTGATCACACGACAAGATGCGGAGGAGATTGTGTGTCTCACAACTGCTTTGGGAAATGGAGACAACAGGAGGTTTGAGGGCCAGAAATCCGATCTTCCGCTTGTGTGGAGTGACGGTATCGGACGCTGTGCCGCTTAAAGGGCGCGGAGGATGTGAGGTCTGATAGGTGTCCGGGGCCCGCCGGGGAGCTCAGCGTGCATCCTCCCAGCAGCTGAAGGAAAAGCAGCTTTTGTCAAACCAGGGTGCGCCCATTGTCCTCCTTTGTTGTTTACTCTTGACTTAAATTTCACCTTGTGCTCAGCCCCACCAAGCCACAGGAGAAGCATTGTTTCTGAGCCTACTGTCGCCATTACCCCCCCCCCCCCCCCCAACCCCCCCTCCCTCCCTAAACCGCCTCGTCTCCAGCAGCTGAGGCGGCGGCTCATAAGTTTTTTTTACAGTTGTTTTGTTGTTTTCTGTATATTTTTTGCAAATTCTCCATCATTTGTGTTATTTTAGCCGTTCTAACGTTCGGCTCGTTAATGCAATGTGTGCTCTGGCTTCTGGTTTATGTAACTCTCATACTTTTACAAATATTTAACCTTATATACAAGCAGAAATACACTGAGATCTCTTGTTCTTTCGGCACGTTGTTCTCTTTGAAATCGTTCAACAATTTTGCTTCTTATGCTAGTTTTAACTTCTAGATAGCTTTTTGCTACTTTTAACTTGCATTTTACTTATTTTAGCTTTAATTCTTTTGCTGTTATTTATCTTTTAACTAGCTTTTTGCTACTTAAAGCTTTTAGCTACCCTTCTACTACTTTAGCTTCTGTTAGCCATTTATTATTTTTAACTACCCCACAGCTACCTTTAGCTTAAAGCTAACTTTTTGCTGCTTTTATATAGCGTTTTGCAACTTTTAGCTTTTAAATACCATTTTGCTTTATTTAGCTGTTAGCTTACCTTTTACTACTTTTACAGTTAAGCTAGTTTTTTCCTACTTTGTTTGTATTTGACTTATTTTAGCTTTTAGCAGGCGTTCTGCTTGTTTTAGCTCCAGTCACTCTTCAGCAGGTTTCAGAGCTCTGTGTTCACGCTGCAGTTTCACAAAACGTGTCATTTCTTTAGCTGTTTTGTGTCTCTTCTGTCTTTTGTCCTCCTTGTGGGTCGACGTGTGTGAGAGGAGATGAAGTGTAGCGGTTAACCCTGTATGTTTTTGACTCTCTGAGGGTTTTGTTTCTTTCTCAGGGTGAGGGATTGTGGGTAATACAGGCTGAGGACGTGTGGAGAGCAGGAAGTCATGTCAGAGAGAGAAGGAGTTAAAGAACCCAAACCAGGACATGTGGTTCTGGTTTGGGGCGCAGCTTGCTCTGATGGTGGGTTCTGGTTTCTCTTTGCTCCGACCTGCCTGTTCAATCCAAACATCCCACTGATCACTAAACAATGCAGATGCCTCT